TCAACTCCCAGAATTCCCCAGCCAGCCATGCTGGCTGGGGAATTCTGGGAATTGCAGTCCACACATCTTAAAGTGCCCAAGGTTGAGAAACACTGCCATAGACTTTGCCATCTGAGGGGTATACTAAACCCCCCATAATCCCCGGACAGAATATGCTGTAGTCCCACCCATCTGGAAGCCACCAAACTGAGAAATGTTGCATCCCAGGAAATTTTCTATTCTGTGACACTCTGGATGTGTGTTAGAAAGTGTAAAGGCTTTGCAGATATAAGAGGTACATGGTTAAATATTTTTAAAGTCAGGCTCAGCTCCTGATCAATCCCTTTGTTGGATTTCAGTCCCTAGCCATCTGGCTAAGATTTATGGGAGCTGTAGTCCCAACATCTGATCTCAAAAGCAACTATGCTTAATCTTCATTAATGCATGGAGTAATGCTGAGGAAAGCTCTTTCTTTAATGAGAACATTGCTGGTTTAATTTAAGTCAGTCCTCCTTTTAACCCTGGATTGCAAATTTAAATTCATACAGAAAAGCTTGCACATGTACAAGGAGCGCCATGCGCCCATGATCAATGAAATCCATCCTGCACTGACCTCTTCCCAGGTATCCAACAGCATGACATCATCTTCATCCAAGTCATCTTGGCCAAAATCCACTATTTCTGTCATGATGAACCGCCCGGTCTGATTGGAGCATTCAAACAAGCGGGGCTGATAGTGGGGGACTCGTTCCTGGAACCTTTCACACAGCAGGGTTGGGAAGGAGAGAGGGGAGAGGTGAAGTGCACTTGTTTCCACGTTCTACGCTAGAACAGACTCTTGCAGGACAAGGAAGGAAGTCAGGTTCTTGGCTCCCTGATTGGCAATGCTCAAAAATGTCCTAGTTCCCTGATAGGCATTGCTCATAGGAATCCTCTTTAAAATGTTGTTTTAATGATATGGACTTATTGCTTGGAGCTTACATCACTGAGCATCCCAAAAAAGGCAATACTTCCCCTATGAGTGTGTTGAAAGCAAACATACACATCTAAACCTTTTTCCAGCTGTTCAGTGGCACCATATGGCCGCACACAAGGCTTGTGCAATGCAGCTTGTCCCTGCCTTAGCGCAATTCTCTTTGCCTCAATTGAATCAGCTCAGTTCTCCTCCTCAACATGAAGAGGCAACGCGGTTCTTCTTGCCAAGACAGTGCGCATTGTCTCAAAGCTTCCACTGGGGATTCCACAGCCAGAAGAGTTGTCTGCAGATGGCCAGAAGTCTCTGCTGGCTGTAAGATGCAAAGGGCACCCCAGAACAGCTTTGAGGGATGCGTCACTCTAACCTTCATCAAAACAAAGCTTTAGACCCAGGAGATATTTGCAGATACTCCTGCCTTTTGAGGAGGAGGCAGAGGAGGAGATGGTGAAGGTGAAGGTGAAGGTGAAGGTGAAGGTGAAGGTGAAGAAGAGGAAGAGAAGGAGG